CTTTTTGTAAATGACCCTGATTTATTTGGTCTCTCCACACCTTTCTCCCTCCCCTCCTCTCCATTTAACTCTCCATAGGAAGAATGAATTTGAAGCTGTGGCAATGCCTCCAGCCTGGACAGGAGGGCTGAGCAGTTAAAATTGGCTGGTGAGTCGGAAGAGCTCAGATGCTATGGCAACAGGCCACAGAGGTATTCAGACAGATATGATAACTGTCATTTCCTTCTCACTCCCTGCTTCGTACACCTCCTTTGGCAAGGGCTGTCTTTGAATTTTGGTTTCAGGAAACACCATTTTTAAGTAAAATAGCTTCATATTGGGGATGGGACACACTACGTGGGACTGAGAGGTTTTCGTTTGTTACTATAAGCTCCTATGTCCAAATTATCAAGTATTGCAAATATCATAAGGTTTAATTTGCTTCTAAATAAGCAGAACTGATAATTTCATCAATTTCAGTGATTTCCACATAAACTGATATTCTTCAAAATTTAAACTAATAGGTAAATTCCACCTACCCTGGGATTCCACTGGGAGCCCACTGCACAGCTACTGTATGCACAAACACCTTTCATCCTGTATAAAACACTCAGACCTTTAATATTTTACTGTTTTTTATGTGAGCAGGTAGATTATAAGAATGACCACAAAAAAAGTAAAACTCAGCTGAAAAAGGAGAGTAGATCATACATCAAACTATTTGTTCCAAACCTCTGGCTGATTAGAAAGTTTGAACATTTAACCTCTTGGAGTTTTATTACTTCCTTAGCCAATGAAACCAGGTGCTGAGGGATGTAGTGACTCACAGTATTGCCAATACTGTATTATATTCCTAGTTCGTATCCTTGGAAAAGTGTTAGCTGTCTTACTGCTCTGAGTACACAAGCATTTTGTTGAGCTATCCAATAACAAATGCAGTTTTTCAAGTTCAATTTAAAAAAAAGAGTTTTTTGTTGTTTGTTTTAAAAACTTACCTTGAATTTCCCAACAAATAAACTAATCTGCCCACTCATAAAACCTTCTGGGGACCCTTCCTCAGTTTCCCTCAGCCTGTACTTTTGTCAGTCCTTTCCTATCAGCTTTGACAAGTTTCTCATCCTGGCTGTTGCCTGAATCCATCTGAAAGTTGGACAGGTTTAGAACCTCAATACCAAGCAATCTGAACTCAAATCCCAGCTTCAAATTCTCTCCACTCTCTGAAACCAAGCTTTGCATAAATCCCCAGCACCCTGTGCTAAGCAACTTTCTGTATATTTTGGACAAGAGTGAGTTAAAAAAAATCAGAGCTGAAATTCCAGTCTTGCATGTCTGCCATTGGAGCAGATTCACTGCTTGGGATAATTCCTCTGAATTGAACAGCACTAACCCAGGGATGAACCTAGCCTACAAGCCATACGATGCTATGCACTGTAAATCCCCCTTCTCATTTCTTGCCCTGGCTCTACAATATTTATTGTCTGGCCTAGTGAAGCAAGGAGCAGTGTCACATGCTCACGACACAAATATGCTGTCAGGAAGTCTTATGGCCTGGAAGACTAAAATGGAGGCTCAAACATTAGCAGCTTTTATCTAAAAGGGGAGGGAAAGCTCCATTTCCAAAATAGAAGACAAAATATTGAAATGATCCATCACAGCTGATGCACCCAGATGGCTTTATGAAAGAGAGAGACAGAAAATGGATCGCCCAGTTCACCACATTTAAAGGAACATAGCTGAGTAGGAGATACACCATGCTTGTGCTGCTCCGAAACAAAGGGGTAAACTACAAGTAAAAATTAAGGGTTGTACAAAAGACTTCCCCATATTACAGAATCACAGTACGATACACCTCCAGTGAACAAGACAAAGTCCAAGTAGATAGATGGGCAACAAAGAAAGAGTTAATCTTCAGTGCCTGATCCACAAAGAAAAGCTTCCAACCACGCAGCTGTGGGTTTCCTTAATAATGTTTGCAAAGAAGAAACAGTACCTATATAATGTTAGTATCTGAGATACGGAGCCATTTTTGGAGGACCTCCCTTACTCTTTTTGCCCTTTTAACTTTCATAGGGATTTTGCTTGGCTGTGAATGTTTGGTTTGACCGAGAAATTCCCCAAAGCTATTCTGATTATTTCTATACAGTGGAACCCAAAGCAAATTCAGCTTATTTGCAGTAGTCAGATACTGACTGATATATATATATACATGTTGAAAAATCCATTAAATATTATCTGTCTGGTACCAGCTCATCTTTTCTTCTGCCAGCTGTGTTTCTAAGGTGCTGTTCACCTTGGTATCTAAAAACCATTTGGTACGCCTGAGTCAATTACTGCACCAGCCAGTCCCTGTTACTGAACTGAGCTCAGCAGAGGGCAAGCACTGGTCAGGCATCCTGGTATCTGGAAGGGGATTATATTTTAACACATCCCCATTTTCAAAAGTCAATCTAGATAGCTGGTAAAATGATTTGGGATCCCTCTGGATGAAAGCGGCTATGGAATCTTGGAACAGTTGTCATTACTGCCTTGTGGTCCTTTGTGTGCTTTTTAAGGTAATTAAAATTAATTAATGTGATATTACACAAAATTAAATTGAGAACCACTGCAAGGTCACCCTAACTAATATATTTACTTCTTCACATTAAAATTCCTCCTCTGCCATGTTTGTTGATTGGTTTGTCTGTTTAATTAGTTACAATGGGTGTCTGAGTTGAGACTCTGTTGCCTGTCAGCATAACAAACAAGCATATCCATAAAGTAAATGACAACCTCTCATCTTTCAGGACACCCAACACATTATAAACGCTAAGTGACAGACCCCATAATTGCACGGCAATTGCTGTCTCCCTGCTCCAGGGTTCCTGCTCTACATCCTTCTGTCTTGAGCCACGTCATTTTTATTTCTGATTTAGATCTACTCTGCCTGTTACGACCACAGGACATTTTCAACTTCCTATCAGAGTTCGTTAAAGTTCAGTGTGCCGTGGGTTATGACCAGGTTATGAACGTGGGCATTGCCGTACTAACTGGAGCACGCCTGGCTACCTCAAATCTCCTAGCGGGCAATGACCAGCGTTCAGAACCAAAGGCAAGATGATAATAACAGGAAATTATAAAACAATCTGGCTACAGGATAAGCAGCTTCCCGAGCGCTGCCATTTGGATGCTGGCTGATAACCCGAGGCACAATAGTGATACGGTGACAATAAACTCTGAAATAAGTCCTGTTCTCTCCACGGGGAGCAATGAGCTAACTGTCTGCCAGGACTCTGGTGTGATGAGGCTGGAACTGTGGGCTATGTCGATAATATCGGAAAATTGCTATTGGCTAACTCTCAGAAAGAGACGCTCTTTAGCGTAACTGGGAATTGTTAAGCTTGGTATTATTGTCATCATTTATCTAGCAAGGGAAAAGAATCGCTTGGTTTTGTGAAGGAGGCCTCCCGCAGCGTTCCCTTCTGGCTCTAAATCACACACGTTTAACAGCCGTCCATCAGGTTTGGCACCTCGTGGTTCGGGCCTCAGATGATAAGTCAGAAACTGTAAGGTTAACGGAACATGCTTCACTCCTCTATATATCATTTTTATGAGGGCATTGCTTACCTTAGTTGATGAAGTTCTTTTATTTAGCTAAACAATGAGGACTGGGTCTGTTTCTCTCCTAGCACAGTTCCACAGGCAGGTAAGTTCCAGGTTTCTGTCAGCTGAGATCATAAGCACCCTGGGACTAAACCTCTGGCAGTAGCTGTGTAAGGTCAGTGGAGGAGGATGCTGACGGTGTGGCCCCGTTCAGCTCAGCTGCTGAGCAGTCCCGGGGCTCTACGTGCACTGCCCGCAAACCGCCCTGCTCTGTATGTGCTGAAGTCCCGCGCAAAGCACTTGTTCCCCCCGCATTTGCCTTCAGTGCCCCACTATTTCTGCTCACTTGGCATGCCTTCCTTGGCTGGCTGCTTCCTGAGCCTTTTCTACTTCACCACAGAGCAAGTGTTAAAGGAAAGAAAGATATTTGCAAATCTTCAGCGCTTTCTGAGTTGCCTGAATTCCCCCAGCACTAAGGTGCATGTGTGCAGATGCCGATGTTTCCCCAGCGCTCCCTTCAATGACTACGCTCAGCACTTTGCTAGCACAGAGCCAAGGATTATTCTAGTGGAATTACAAGAGACGAGGCAACTCTGTCTCTGCAGAGAAAACAATTTCACAGAAGACTAAACTAAGTTAGGATGAGAAGCAGGGACACAAAGGCAGGGAAAAAGAAGCTGAGCTCTCTTTGCCTTGCCAGAATGAAGAGCCAATTAGGGTAAACTGGCATCCAGAGTATTTTTTTAACGGACAGAAAGGCATGGAAGCGTGAGGTGATTTGATTCCACATAACTTTCTTTGCCAGCTTAGTTACCATTGTACCTCCATCCATCCCCTTCCTGGGCCCTTTATTCTTCATGGTTCTTTTCAATGGTCCCACAGAAATCCCATTCTGTGTGATGGAGGAACGGGACGTGATTCAGAGAGCATGGCACATGGGTACCCGAGGAAGCAGGAATGGAGAAGCCTGTGCACCTCAGCTACTGATTTCCCACTTGATTTTGGATAAAATATACGTATTTTGTACTTAAGAAGTCTAGTGACGGGAGCTATGAGCTCTGCTGTGGTTTTGCAGGATTGAAATCACCAGAGAACCAGACAGTCAAGGTGGGAAACAGATAAGAGTTGCCAAATATTTTCCCAGTGCAAAAGCATAGCATCTATGATTCACAGGGACAGGCAGAAGCATACCACACCAGTCATCATCCAAAGCCTATGCTCCAGCTCTGAGTTGTCCAGCATTCATATTGCCATGCTGTGGTCTGACTGCAGTAATGCTGACATCGTAATGGTAATGCTGAGGACGGTAAACGTTTGCTTTACAATTGTCAGCCTGCTTAAACCCAACAAGGAGCCATGTTTCAATGTGTTTCAAGGAGCCATGCACAGCCTTGGCCGGGTTTCTTCAAGTAGTTAGTGCAGACAACTAGAATCACCCAGAGATCATATCTCAGCATCCAAGAATGGTTTAGAGAAACCTCAAGTGAATAAACTCCCTCGGTGCTTGGTAGGGGAATCAACAGTGTTACAGGACATAAGACAGAAAGAAACACATCTGTTTTCTGTCTTCCTTGCAGGTATTATAGGCTTGATTTGCAGATATAAAGTCTGTAAAAACGGGTAGAAAAACAGACCCAGAAGACTTAAATCTTATTGTTCATTTGTGTAAATTAGGAACAATTCAAGTGAAATCAATGAAGTGTGAAACAAACATAAGAAATAATCAGTACAGGACAAGCATTCTGATATTTGTTTTCTTCTTTCTTCTTTCCTCGATCTTATGAAATGAAATACATTTAAAGAAGCACCTGCACTTCTCTAGGGCTCATACCGCAGTGATGTGAACCTGGAACAAATTTCTTGTATGTGCATATGAAACACAAAATAAAGGTTGAAGATGGAAAACCATCTGACAATTAATGACCTACAATGACAGAGAGCTTAGGAAATGGAAAGAAGGCTGGGACCTTTGGGAAAGCTGTCTTGTACCAGTGCTGATTCCACCATCCGTCTGCCCAGCGAGACCCTGATCTCAGATTCACCCTCTCCTGGAAGGGGGAAGGCAATGTGAGCCAGGGAACAGAGTGCTGGTCTAGATGTCAAAAAACTTGAGCTCTTTTCTCCCCCCTCTTGGGGGCCTGCTTACCTTCTGCAAGTCAAACCTTTCTCAATTTCTCCACTCAGAAAACAAAGATAATGATCCTGACTTTTATAAAGGTGTTTAGGAGGACAGAATGTGCAATCTAAGAGGTCGGTAGTACCTCTATAATACAAATAATGGTAGTAACAACAAGACATTTGTTTTCCTCCCTTCCTGACCTTCCTCCCACACACACCATTCATGCCAGACTCTCTCTGTGCTCTCAACTCCTGCTGCTTATCAGTTTCTAGCCAGAGACACTAACACCAAATATAAAACATTTTAACACATGTGATCTCTCTCTCCTCTCCTCCCACCATCCTTCCTCTGCAGGAGAGAATGATGGATATTTGAAATGTGCATCTCCACCTCTCTCCCTGAGCTGTGACGCTTGCTAGCAAAGAAAAGGCTGTGATGAGGCTCTAGCGCCATTGCTTACACATTTGATTGATGATGACTGTGCTGGAGACTGGGAGAAGATTGGTTTCTGGGGCTGATTGATAAAGTCTATCATGCGGCATGAAACAGTTGGAAAGAAAAATAATGGGCCATCTGATTCTTTCTAGCAGGAAATATTTAGTGAGAAAAGATTACTGAGGATTTTTCCTGATTAATTTGTAATTATAGAAACTTGCTTTTACATATGAATTTCACTGGGTATTCCTTTTGTTAAGCAAGATTGTCTGACCAGTTAATTAAGGAAAAGGTACACTTACGGAATATTAAAGGAAGCCACAAATATTCCAGTTAGCTGGAGTGATGAGTAGGACTGTTCAGGCAGTATTGCTTAGCAAAGGGAAGACCCAGTGAAAGATCCCATTTAAGGAGTTTGCTTTACCTGGTAGTAAAAAAAAACAAAACAATGAATTAATGATTCAATGGAAAACAGATAATGCTGGGATTGAATTTTTTGTGGGGCTTCACCGATATTTCAGAGATCTGTTTGCTTTTTGATGCTTAAAGCACTTTGATTATTCTTTTTTAATCCTTTTTTTCTAGATTTTCTTAAGTGCCACTTGCAGTTCTGACTTTAACTTGTAGTCTAGAACAGACTGAAACAGGTAGTCTGGAGCAGGCAAGCTGTTCTTCCACAGCTAATGAAGTTACACTGCGCAGGGGACAACTGGTGTTCTTTAGGCATTCTTTAAATTTGGGACAGTAGCACATGAGGTTCTTTGATCTGACCATGGAGTAACCTCCACTGCCTGCTGAAAGAGAACATCTACATTATGCAGATGGGAAGTGCACGCCATCACAGAGGAAAACTGCAAATGTTGTTCTCCCTTTTAAATTTACTTTCATAATGTAAAATTCTATAGAAAGACCCTAACTGTACGCACATACAATTAATTTTCCACGGGTAATGTACAAGTGATGCTCACCTAATATTGTCACCTAAAAGGTCTTCAATTGCTTTAGCAACATCCAGTCTGTTGGAGCTGCTTACAACTCATGCATGAGCTTGGCAATTATAAATGGAAATGAAATTTTCATTTTGCCTGTGAATAGGGTGAACTCTAAGCAAACAGGAACCCAGTAGCTGTGTTGCACTCACAGCCTCAGAGATGCAAAAGCAGGAGGAATTACCAAAATCAACAAAAAACTAATCTCTTTAATCCTGGGAAATTTTTAAACTAGTTTTAATAATTGATACAGTGTCAGAAGCAGCCTGAATCCATGGAGAGGAGATTAATATTAAATGAGAATGCTTCTCCCTCTCTGTATGGGAAAGGATGGCAGAGTCATTAAACAAGTCCTTTGCACACCAGACTTGGCATAAGCTAGGTAAAATGCTGGTAAAATTGCTATGGTTGCTTCCTTGCTCCAGATTCATACACGATCTGACCAGTGGTGTGGTAAGAGGAGACCTGACAGCTCTGCCAATTTTGCTCTTACAGGAGATAGAAACTAGGAAATATTGGAAACAAATGGAAAGAAGATGGAAACTATCTGATAATCTGTATTAATAGTCTCCATTTGTGACCCTGAGCTTTATGGGCATTAAGGCTTGGCAGCAGCCTGTTTGCCCTCTCTCCTGCACCGCCCTGCTTCCAGCTGGCAGTTTTTGGCTTCCCTGCTCTGTTCAGCCTTTTGCCATGTGCAGGGCTGAGAAGCAACCGAGACACCCGCCACGCTGGCATCCCTGCATTGCAAATCTATTGACTGTGGCTTCTGGCCAACCACTGAGAAACAATCAAAGCCGATGGCTCCAGACCGCCACATGATAGCTTCCCAGTGATGATCCTTCAACGAGATATGGTGCAGCTCTCTGCAGCTGGGCAGATCAGAGGAACTGCAATTCATTAACCTTGCCTGGGGCAAGGCTGGTAACACATGCAACCCGTAATACAAAATGGCAGGTACAGTGGAAAGCAGAGACACAACCTCAAACAGAGCATGTTCCACTTGTGCTAATGCTTCGCTTTTCCAGTCGTGTTAACTCCTATCAAATAAGGCATTTATGTCCATATCTACAAAGGTATTTAGATACTCCAGTGCTGCCTGAATTCAGTATCAGTTTGTCACCTTTGTGAACCTGCATCTTAAGCCTTATTTCTGTACCATCATGCAGTATGCTTAATGCTGAGAAGGTCACTGTTTGTATCAAAGTTATTACATTGCTCTCTCTCCTACCAGTTACGGCACAGCTCTGTCTTCATATACGGTCCTCATCGCTGTAGTATCTGAAGCTTTTCATGCGACTTAAAAGCCAGCAGCTCTGTCTTTGTCTCTCTCTTATCTCCCATTCAGAAGCAGGATCATTATCTTCAATATACCTATAAAAATAAGTATTGTGAGATTACTTGGGGAAAAAAAAGCAGCCTCACTCTGTGATAGGTAGTAACGCCAGATCAGACTAGTGGTTACAAAATACAGCAGAAGAAAAAGAAAGAAAACATACATTACTGCACAAGTCCAGCCTGATGCTCAGGAGACATGCTGGAGCTGTGCCTCGGAGCCCTGTGCCAAATGGCTAGGTTTTGCTAGGACTAGTGAGTGGCATTGTATTAAAGGTAACACTTCCTTTAGTATTTAATGTAAATAGACAGAGTTTTATTAACCTGCCCCCTGAGGTACCTAATAAGGATAACGTCAGAGAAGAGAAGCAATAAGGAAATGAGTAACAACTTACTGTATTATATATGCATGATGATAATCAATACTACTTTGCACTAAAATAGTAGTTGGCATCCAAAGATCCCCCAACATTGCAGTAAGGACTCATTCATCAACGGGCTAGTCTTGAAAGGCACTTCAGTATTATTGCATGCTTTGTTCAACGGTGAGTGAGGGGAGGGGGGCACAGAGAAAAGACAATGCTTGCCCAAGGACACATTGCTCACAATTGACAGGGTTCTGAAAAATAGCCCGAGTTCCTGTGTTCAAAGTCTCACGGTGATTAATGCCTGGTGGAGGCCATTATGCTCAAACCACTTAAACAAAGGCCATCAGCTTTTAGTCTCTGATTCCTAGAGCAAATCCAGTAATTGCGCTTTCTTTAGCGCTGGACTCTTGGAAAACTAAAGATGAATTAGATGGCAGAACAAGCCGTGTGTTAGGTCTAACGGTTGTGACCGATCACTCAGGAAAGTGTCCCTCAAAAGGGGGTTTCTCTCAGGTGGGGAGGCAATAACATCCTTTGCTTGGTATCCACACGAGGCACACAGCACAGGCAATGCAGTGATGGCAGCAGGGAGCGAGGCTGTTAGCGAGCGAGCTGGCAAACTGTAATTGCTACCCAGTGGCAATTTACAAGCACAGGCAGCCACTCTGGTAGATTTGATTTAAAATAACACCGATGCTGCTGGCCGCTGATTGACAGCCTCCTCCATCACACTTGGCAATTGCTGGGAGACTCCGCAACCGCTTGGTTCTCGCTGCTCACCATCCATCTCTGCCACGGGAGGCTCACGGTCTATGCACGAGGCCCCATTGTGCCAACAGAGAAATCAGCTCCCGGTCCAGCCAGGAAACAAAGCAGAACTTGCTGCAGGTAACAGAGGCTGACGTCACTGGGAAAGTCACCAAACTGGCGCTGAAAACTTGAAAGAGGCTGAAATTCTCCAGCAAGTGTGCTTTTGGTGCAGCTCTGCCTTCCCCCAGGGCTGCTAGGAGACCATCCCGCACACATCCATTAAGCGTGCTGTTATTACAGATGGCAGGGAGATGGAGGGTACTTGGCCCTGGGTTGCGAACGTTATTATTTCCTGATCATTAACACGGTGAGTGGCTTCTTACAAGCTGAAATATTGCAGAAAAATGTGAAATGCATAAGGAGCAGGGCACAAGTTCACTGCAAAAAAAATTTTTCACCCAGGGACTGGTTCCAGGCCACGTGGTTATGGGATGTCTTAAAGATACAAGGGCCTCTTCCATAGGCACGTGGTGTCTGCTCCATTCCCATCTCCAACACACAGCCACCAGTGCACGCTTGGTACTAGAGATCAGCTTAAGTGCTCAAATAGCTCCTTGGGGATTTACTTTCTGACTACAGAGTTTCCAGTGCTTACAGATGTACTGTCTCTGGCAATATTTGGTACTTTAGCTAAAAAGCCTGAGCTTCCAGAGTCATTTGATCACCTAAAATGCTCAGCTTGCAGGCAGAACACCCTACAGACATCAACGCTGAAGATTTAAACCTCAGCAGGTAAATATGGAAACCCTGGCTGCTGCTTTTTTTTTTTTTTTTTTTAATTTATTTTAGGATTAGAGGCATGAGATAAAGCCCAACTCGTGATTATTTAATACTTCAGGTTAGCAGTTCCAGTCACCTGCAAAGGTCCTTCCCACGTGGGCCGTGCTTGTTAAATGCATCAGTTAATTCTAGCTCCGGGGTATCACGCAGGGAAAGACAAAGGCTTTGAAGCAACTATGGCTCTATCCATTTTCAGCCCCAAAAAAACCGCCTGGCTGTCCTGAAGTAGCACTGAAGTCATACCCACTGAAAATCCTGTGACTCTGATGGAAGAATAATTGCCTGCTCTCTCGGTATTAATACATCTTTGGTTTCTGGTTGGCTGCATTTGCATCTGGCTTTGCAGACTGCCTTCCCCTGAAGCATCTTTATCGGATTTGCTCAGTCTCATGACTTAGTCTGTTTTTTAAACTAAGTTCTAAATAACTAAAATAAGCCCCAGGATGGCTTAGGCTGCCCAGGTGAGCCAGGGAGAATGTGGAATACAGCCCAGGCTGAGAGGAAAGGGTTGGAGCTGCTCCTCCCTCCTCACAGGCCAGCGACGGTCCTTGAGCACAAGCAAGGCCCACGGCACAAACACTATAAATAACATTAATGGGGCACTGCTGGCGACATCAGAGCAGAAATTAGTGAGACTGGCAAGTGCAAAGCAGCAGCAAACTGAAAAATTTTCACTGCGAGTGCTTTCTGGAAATGGTCTATCTCAGGCCAAGTCAGACAAGTAGGGGGGCAGAAGATTTGCCTCCACCCAGCCCGGTGGTGAGGGACGGGCGCAGCAGCCTTACTGCAGGCCAGGAGGAATACCTGGCAGCCAGAGATGACAGCAGTTCGTGTTTTAGGACAATGTGCCCTTACAGATGGCACAGGAGAAGTGGTTCCTGCGGGTATTTTTCCCTGCACTGTGATTCACACCGCGGGGTGCGTGGGAAGGAAATGAATGGTATCAGGTCTTTAAAAAGTGCAGTGTCACCACACTCCCTGCAGTGACTTCTGCTCAACAAGGTAAGCATGGCAATGCTGCCCCCAGAGTCCCAGCTCTTCATTTCCCACTGCATCTCCTGGGAGGGGACTAGCCTCATCGCTGCCTTGTGCTGCTCCACAACTAGGACATCCTATCCCACACCTTTTCACATCCAAAGGAGCTGCAGCAGCCTGCTCAGGACTTCTTTCCCTTTCTCAGCAGACACCTCCAACAAAAATCTTAGCAGCAAAACTGTTCGGCTGCCAAGGTGTCATTCTGCTGGGATTAAAATTGCTCCCAGCCTTTGGATGGGTCCTCCTGAATAATAAAGCCTATCTAATAAAACAGTCTGTTAATTTTCGAGCTAGAGCAGAAGCATGAATTGTGTAGGAAGGCTCTTGGAAGCAAACCAGACTGCTCTGAAGTGGCCATGAGCACCTTCAGCACAGCCACGAAACAGCCAGGAAGCAAAGAAAGTGCAGACTGGGCAGGGATTGCCCCAGCAGGCTTGTGCTGACTTTCCTGATGGCACTTTGCATTTTCTGGTGCCCGAGCTCTCTAGCATAAAGATAGCTCGAGTACATCCAGATGTGCTGCATGCACGGGCCCCACATGCAGTATCAGCACGGCTTTTAATAGCTCTCTGGGGAAGACAAAAGTGCTGACATCTACCTCCCTCCATCATCTGAGCTCCTCTAGGTGAGAGTGACTTGCACGTCCAGAGCCTGATACCAGTTCCTATGTCAGGCTACCGATACAGCCCAAACAGTGCTGCCCATCAAGGCAAACCAGGGTCAGCCATGCAGACACACAGCTTTATACCCACACGGTGATGGCAGGCAGCGAAATTCCTTACAAAGAGTCCTACACTGGGAGGCTGAAAGGACAGAGTGCCTGCCCTGAGGACACAGCAGCTGGGATGCCAAGAGGGCAGCAGCTGCATTCACGCCCCGTGTTTGGCTTTCAGGAAGGCTGGACACTGTTCCAAAGTCCTTGTTCTCTTCTTTGCTGGGCAAACTGACTCTATCTATGGTGCTTCCCAGCTCTTCTCTCTCCTGGTCCTTCCTCCTGCAGCTTACAGTTGTTTGGCCAAAGGCAAATTGTGGGCAATAGGGGAAACATTTAGCAGTAGCAGAGGAGAGCTGGCTCTGCCAATTCCTCCCTGCTGCTTACAACATCTGCTGAGCTGTTTGTTGAAGCCCCTGACAAGCCACCTTGCCCTTTTCTACAGTCTGAGATTGGGTCATCAAGGCTGAAGCTCCCATCTGGGGATGAAAGCCTGTTGGATGATGCTCAGAAACGGAAGGTGAGAGCACATTGTGCAACCGATAGCATCGGCAGAGTCTGACACACGCCCCAGTGAAGGGCTGTGAGGTGTCAGGGGATGCCTGATGGCAAAGAAACCAAGGTTCAAGACTTGCTATCTCTGGGTCATCACAAAAGCCAACATGTAGACAGAGTGGTGAGGTTCGCATGTTAGCAGTAGCAACAAGGAAACGCAAGCTATCAGTTATCAACTTGCCACGCTGTGCTTTTAGTACACACCAAGCGGTACGTTTGGATTCGTACTTAGGACAGGGACTGTTTTGGAAGTCGCTCTAGCCTACATTCATAAGCATAACCCTGACTTGGAGAAAACCACACTGCAAACAGCTAGGTAGGTAATGTTAGAAAAGGAAAGGGAAGCACAAATGATTTTCTATCAGGTCAAGACTAAAATCCTGCTCACCTGTCTCCTAGATCACTACTGCCTTGATGCTGCTTTGATGAGTGACACAGGGCCCTGAGAAGAACAAAGGTTTACTCTTGCTTCAGATGGATTCTATTTTTTTCCCATTTAGACTAGAGATAGAACACGGATAAATTCTCCATTCTTGGCAAGCTGAGACAGATTTGGACCTAAATGTTACTTTCCAGATTCGCTGTGTTCCAACGCACTCCTTTTTGCATCTCTCAGGTCAGATGCCCCAGGTTCTGCAGCAAGCAGAAGCCCTCTGTTAACAAGCTGAACAGACTTGCTTTATTTTGTTCATAGTTTTATTTTGTTCATATCCGCCTGCTGTTGTCCTTAATGCAGGATTAATGGATGCATTGCTTTGTGGTCGGTTTATTTAAATTAC